AATTTTTACCTTAAGATCAGTCAGTGGTTTCAGAAAATAAGTCAACTGAGTTGAGTTATATTTTTTGAATTTTTATAGCTATGTCTTTGACCTAAAAACTAAGATATAATCATGGACCATAACCTTTTCATAGATTTCACCCAGGGTTTCTTATGTCTAAACCTCTATCCAGTAAAGTTTGCTTTGTATTGATTTAGTTACCCTAAGTCCTATCATAACAGAAATCCATTCAGGGATTAACAACCAGTTGGGAAGCTTAGAAGACACATCACAAGCACTGAAGTAGCCTACTTACCTTGAGAGAAAATCATCTAGACCTGTAAAGAATTATTTTTAATTGTATTGTATTGATTATGCTATTACAGTTGTCCCAATTTTTCTCCCTTTGCCCCCTTCCACCCAGTACCCCCAACTCCCTCGGGCAATTCCCCCACCATTGTTCATGTCCATGGGTCATGCATGTAAGTGCTTTGGCTGCTCCATTTCCTATGCTGTACTTGACACCCCCACGGCTATTCTGTGACTACTTGTTTGTACTTCTTAATCCCCTCACCTCTCACTCTCTCCAACACCTTGACCTCTCATCTCCTTATCTTTAAACTTTGGCCTTTTAATTATGATGTGTCTTGGAATGGGCCTCTTTGCATTTATCTTGTTTGGGATTCTGTGCTTCCTGGACTTGAGTATCTATTTCTTTCATTAAATTAGGGAAGTTTTCTTTCATTATTTTTTCAAATCAACTTCCAATTTATTGCTCTTTCTCTTCTGCTTCCGGCACCCCTATGACGTGAATGTCGGATTGGTTAGAGTTGTGCCGCAGGCTGCTTACACTATCCTCATTTTTTTAGATTCTCTTTTTTCTTGTTCTGATTGTTTTGTTTGCTTCCTTATATTCCAAATCATTGATTTCAGTTTTGGCTTCATCCATTCTACTGTTGTCTCTCTGTAAATTGTTCCTTATTTCAATTAGTGTATCCTTCATTTCTGACTGCATATTTTTTATGCTGTTCAGGTCCTGAGTTCCTTGAGCATCCTTATAAACAGTGCTTTGAACTCTGCCTCTGATAGTTTATTTCCATTTCATTTAGTTCTTTTTCTTGAGTTTTGATCTGTTGTTTTGGCAGCCTCTCTGTATTTGCTTCTATGTATTAGGTAGAGCTGCTTTGCTTCTATGTCTTGGTAGTGTGGCCTAATGTGGTAGGTGTTCTGTAGGGTCCAGTGGCACAGCCTCCCCTCTTATCCATAAGCTGGGTTCTCAAGGTGTGCCCTTCATGCGGGCTGTGTACACGCTCCTCTTATAGTTGAGCCTTGGTTGCTGTTGGCAGATCAATGGGAGGGATTTACCCAGGCCAGTCAGCTGCAAGGACTGGCTTGTGACCATTGACCACCAATCTGTGCTCGATCAGCTGTGCAGGGGCAGGATGGTGGTGTTCCTGTGCCATCTGCAGCTGTCCGCTGGCTCCTGGGGTTTCCTGGGTGATTGCAGGCCAAGAATCAGCAGCCCCCACCTATGCTTTGTCCTGGGCAACCCTGCCTGAGCTATATAGCAATCTTAGATGGCTGCTACTTCTGCGGGGCTTGGAGATTTATAGGCAAAGCCATGCTATGAATCTAGGCTGGTGGTTTCAGGCTTGGGGCTCACTGAGGCCAGCTGCTGCTTGTTTGAGAGGATTTAGGAAATTGTAAAGCATGAGCAAAGGCCATTCATATGGAAAAGCAGCTTGGGTGGGTCCATAAATTGGCAGGGGTGGAGTCTCTGGGGATCTCTAAGGCAGGTCAAAGGGTATTAGCCAAGTTGATGAAATCTTAGATACAGCTCCAGTCTGCTGGCTCTGGTTGGGGAGGGCCCAGAAAAGGGAAAATGGCCTCTGCTTGCCTTGATGCTGGACACCTCAGCCTCCCCCTGCACACAGCCGGTGCCCCTCCATTTGCCACCCCGTGTCCAGAGCCCAGAGGAAGTGAGTCTGAGTAGGTGAGTCTGTGTGTGGTTTCTTTAAGAGGAACTGCTTGGGGCTCCAGCTCTTTCTTCCACCAACTGAATCCCTGCTGGTTTTTACAGCTAGAAGTTATGGAGACTTACCTTTCTGGCACTGGAACCCTGAGCTGGGCAGCCTGGTGTGGGGCTGGGATTCCTTGCTCCCTAGATATCCCTCCTGGACTTTTATCCACCACACATGGGTGTGGGCAGACTGTGCCCTTCCTACCAGTCTGGACCAGTGTGGTTTCTTCAATTCTGTAGTTGTCAGACTTCCATTCAACTCAGTTTCTGTCAGTTCTGAGTGATGGTGGTTCTGTATTTTAGTTGTAATTTTGTTGTGGTTGTGCGAAGAGGCAAGCCATGTCTGCCTATGCCATCATCTCCAGATGATGAACTTTCTCTCGAAAGTTCTCGAGAATTTTTATGAATTTGAGCCAAAGCTGACAACAAATACCTGAAAGTAAAATCTCAAATGCTCCAGCAAATAAGTTTGAAGTTTTTTTAAGCATTTGAAATGAAAGTAAGAATGTAAGGACAGATGTTACATGAGGGTGGGTGAAAGCAAGGCAGGATCTGGATGACAAGATTATGAACTTTCTCAAGGGTGCTTACACCTTCCAGGAGTAAGCAAATTACTTCTGACATTCAAAGGTGTGTTAACTTAGATGTACAAAAACAATTAACAGGCCTACTTAAAAACTTTTCAATAAAGAAGTTATAGGCCTGGGTGTGACTACCTACCTTACCTTCCCAGTTAGGAATTTATGGTTTACTATAGCACCCCTATTTTGTCACTATGTCAAACAAAATTGAGAATGAGTTGTTAGCCCTGACTGGTGTGGCTCAGTTGGGTGTTACCCTGCAAAGCGTGAGGTCGCCAGTTCAGTCACTAGTAGGGCACATGCCTGGGCTGCAGGTTCAGTCCCAGGTCAAGGCACGTACAAGAGGCAACCAGTCAATGTATCTCTTTCACACTTCTCTCCCTCTCTTTCTCCTACCCTCCCCCCTCTCTAAAATAAATCTTTCCAAAAAATGAGATATTTAAGGTGAGAAACCTTTAACCTTATTTTAAACAAATCTGAGCTTTTCACAGGGAGTATCTAATTCAGAAGAAAAATAGGTGGCTTTGCTACACATCTAACTTGTGTTTGAGTTGTTGGCCTTTGTGTAAAGGCCACCATTCTGTCCCACTGAGCTGTAAGCACCTGACCAGGAAACAAAGCCTCACTCTTAATAACAGCCCAAGATGTGCAGGTTCATGAGGTTTGAGGCAGGAGCAAACTTTGTTTCCCTTAACAGTATAGGTCAGTTTGGCAAAAGTAAAGGACCAGATAGCCCATGGTCTGTCACAGCTACCTGATTCTGCCATTGTATCATGAAAGTAGCCATAGATCAGAGGAGATCCAGCAGCTGCAGGAGCTCCTGAAGCTCTGAGCTGTGAAAAAGAGGAAGAAGGACAAGTAAATACTGTCCCAAGTTTGACATCTTTGCTGAGACGCAACAGAGTCTGTACCTGACTCTGTGCATGCACAGTGGCTCCCCAGGTGAGAATGAAGAACCAGAAACCTCGTCTCACTCCCTTTGAGACTCGCTGACCACACAGAGCCCAGGCTGAGAGTGGATGGGGACAGAGTGAACCCCTGGGACACCAGGGGTTTCAAGCTCCTCCTGCCTGAGAGGGTGAATGGGAAGCAGCAGGAGCTGCTGTGTTTCCTCCTGGACATAACACATCGCCACAAGGAGGAGACCGGTGAACAGGACTGAAACAGGCCCAGAAGGCCTGCAGTGAGCCAAGCAGGAGGTCCACAGAGGGCCCCAGACCCTGGCCCCAGACTGACCGGAAGTTGAAAGGGCTTCACCTCACTTCCCTGGTGGAGCAGGAGGAGAGCGGGGAGAAAAGCCAACAGCAGTAACACTAACAGGCAGCAGCTGAACCACATCAAGGAGGGGAAGCCAGCTGGTCCCGCAGAGCTGGCCCGCCCCATTGAGCGCAGCAGCAGTCTGGTGCTGGCTGACTCCTCTCAGGCCAGAGACAAGAGCATGAAAAATCGGAAGAAGGGAGATGGAGCCAGCAGCTCACTCCATGAATGTCTCTCTGCCTGAGGATATGGATGAGACGAAGAGGAAAGTGAGTATTTCAAAAGATTCTTCTTGGATTACCAGATAGACCTGCCAAAGACTATCAACTGGTCCGATTTTGGCTTGGAAAAAAGCCGCCTTTACTGCCCAGTGAATGAGGTCCACCTACAGAAGGATGCGTGGGAGCTTGCCTAGGCCATGTGGCTGGGGCGCTGCACCTGGGACCCCGATGCTAACGTGCTGCCTGGCCATGTCGTCAGCTTGTGCGCATGTAGTCTGTGAGCCTTCAATTACAGCTCCCACACCATTGCCACCTCCGCCTGAGACCTAGGTCATGGCCAGAAACGAGTCTGATCATTCTTGTGGCTCTGTCACCTCTGAATCTTGCCTGCCTATCACTCAGCTCCCAACTTGGTTAGGCAGGTACCCATCAATCTCCACAATCTACTGTGAACTGTGTACATGTTGTGCTGTGTGCGTCTGATCCCCCGAGTTGTAGCCAGCTTGTACGAAACCCTTGCAGAGAGAGGAAACTCAAAAACAAAATGCACCCCAGTACTCACCCAAAAAAGGTATAGGTAATATGAAGATGAATGGGTATGACTGTGTCCCATAAACTTCCTTTACAACACAGGCAGCTAGAATTTGGCCCAAAGACTAGAGTTTGTGGATCCTTGGTGAACATAAATATATCTAAGCTAACAAAAGTTTAACTGTGTTTTCAGTTTTATAAACTTTTAAAGATCTTGAAAAAATGTCTTCCTAGTTTGTAACTTGCCATTTTTGAGTAACACTCCTTTCTTCTATTGAGATAATAGAACTTTAGGCACCTCACACTTCCCTCAAGTGACTGAAGTATTAAAAAGGACTGTTTCTACATACTAACATAATCAGGTAGTATTTTGTCTTCCATACCTTCACAGTGAAACTTCTCTTCTCTTCACAGATAAACATTACATGTGACGAGTGGTAAAAGGGAACACTGATCTCAAGTGGCCTGGAGAGAAAAAGCACTGGTCAACATCACGTGGACAGATGCTCAGTGTTTTCCAAAGATGGTGTTGAAGTAGTCTTCCTACTGCTTTGCTTCACTCAAAGTTCTTCATAACATGGGCTGCATGAAATCAAAGCAAATTTTCGCATTTCCTACCACAATTGAGAGTGACAAGCAGCACACAAGTGCAGAGAGCTTTATGTCAGATGAGATATTTCAACCTAGGATGCCTTCTCAAGTTATCAGTGAGGAAGTGAAGGGACTTACGGAATCCAAAATCCTGGTCTTCGAATTTGCACATCGCCTGTCCCAGGAAATCTTGAGTGATGCCTTGCAGCAGTGGGCAGATAGTAACACCAAGTACGGCGACATCCCATTCATTGAGAGTGAGGGGCCTTGATGCTGTAGAATTAGGACACCTTCTTGAACTGTGGATAGAGTTGGTGCTAGTCTAAACACATGAAAGAAAAGCAAAATGTTGTGTGAATAAACACTGATTCCATCTGAATGTAAAAATCAGTCTATGGTCATATCAAGGGTATAGGAATACCTAAAGTGAAATGTGTTTTAAGTCATTCTATGGTAATAGCAATTTCTGCCTGCTTGTTCTTGGATTGTAGTCACTTAAAGGACTAAACAGAGGTCCTGTGGCACCACGCTAACCAGCTGTGTCACATACAGATTCAGATGGTACAGCATCACCAAAGAAAGAAATATTTAAACATGTCCATATTTCCAAATGGTTTAAAAACACTTTTAAAATAATGTTAATTTACACCAAAACTGAGATATGAAAAGGATTGTTCTTGAAATGTCTTGGCAGTGAATGGCACTCAAGCCATAGTGATTAGCAGTAGCTTCTGTTTGTCCAAACCATCTGTGTTAAGGAACCCTACTTAACACAAATGATCAAGCATTGGAAAGCAACCCACATAGAGGAGATCCACCTTGACCCTCAGGGCCCTAAGCACAGCTGTTATAGATGGCTCACACTTCTTGTATTAGGCATCTCAACAAGACACAATTTATAGAAGTCATGGCATTAATGTTTATCACATTGAATTAAGCCCAGTGATATATTAATATAATTATACAAGCAAACAAGTTTGGGAACCTTTATAAACAGCAATCCAATAAATTTTAAAACAATAGAAGCACTAGCTGGCAAGGTAAAAAGAATCTGGTCTCTGTGCTGAATGTGTATTAAGCTTCGCTATCTCAGAGGTGTGGAGGGTCAGTTCATTTTGTTTGTTTATGGTAACAATGCCCACACAGGGCATTTACAGCCATACACTATACTATTGTCATACACTACACTATTGTCATAAAGTTGGCCTTGTTAAAAAACAAGAATTTAGTGCTGCTTGAGATCACTGGTGACAAAAAATTTAGGCGAGAAGTTACTAAGATGTAACTTGTAGGAAGATTGAGAATCAGTCTCTAGAATTATCTTTACATCAAGATTTTGCCACACATTGAGTTTAACTGGAAAGGGAATTATTTAAGCCCATTTGCATTAAATCCTTTTATTAAGATACAACAGACTCTCATCACTGAAATCTAAAGGCAGAGAAAGAGGAAGGCTCGTGACCTCTTTGAAGAAATAAATATGCATTTGGCCTTTTAAACAGACAGAAATGCTACCTCTAATTTTAACAATTATACTTTGAAACCCACAGTCAAATAGAGTGAATTCTCCCGAGTTACTGGGCAAAGAAAATTCTTTGAATTGAGTGATGGGCTCTTTCGGTTGCCTTCAGACGTTTGGTCATTCAGCTTTCCCTTCACCTATCCCCCAGGCCATCTTAACGACTGAGAAGATAGAAAAACCACCACCCCTGTTTATAGAAGGCTGAGAACAGAAAGTTTCCTAAAACTGCAAAAACAGTTTTCAGTACCATCTTGATATTTCCAGATCATCAAGAAATACTTAGGTTTCTGAGTGTTAATACTGAGTCAGACAAAAGCCTAGATGTTGCTGTTTTTCCTTCATTTTCTCTCACATCAGAACACTTTTGCTGCAAGGTCATTTGTAATACATATTACGGGGAGAACACAAAGCCATATAAAAGCAGCACATTGCACTAAAATTTTCAGCACGCATTGGGAATAGCCTACTGGGTTTTAGTTACACCTAATTATTTTAATCTCAGTTCCTCCTTTGCCCTGGGCTCCTCCAGGGGTGTGGGATGTCTTTCAGCTCTGAATCTGGCTGGCTGTGTGAACTCTGTTGCCACCCTCTCTGACACTGGCAGTACAGTTTTGTCACCAAGCACTACCCCTCGTCCCTGAATCATTGGAACAGAGTATAATATCTTGTGACATACAGGGACTTACCTTATATTGGACATGTATGCCACATACATCAAACCACGGATGAGGAAGTACAAGGCTTGCGTGATCCGTGTAGTAGTGGATAAACCAAGGTGGGAGCAGGCAGGAAAAGTCCTGGATAAACAGATTTGTACTGCACTGGTAGTCATCAAGATCTAGTTTGGCCTTGATAAGAAAGATAACATCTTTAATAGGATATTCAGCTTCTTTCCCATCTTCATATTTAAACGTTGGACTTCATTTCAAAAGTCTTGAATGAGCAGTGAAAGAGCAAAATGACTCTTTCAGGGAGAGAAATATAAAACATAAGACTGAAAGTCTTATTAGCTGCTGGGAAGGGAAATATTTGTTCCAACTTATATCACAAACAGACGAAATAAGAATAACGGGCAAATGTAAGGGAGAGGAAAACCAGGGAAAGTGAGCCCAAGAAACGGCACTAATGCCAAACTCCATCAGAAGACGCACTGCAAAAACAAGTTTCTAAGTTTTTGACAGGGAAAGGACACAGCAGCAATTCACCACACTGACACACGCCCACCGCTGGATCCAGTACAGGGCCAGGTGAGAGGCTACCGTCGAGACAACCTGCAGGTGGCACAAAGTCGATGCAGCAGATTGTCAGAGGAAATGTGCCAGTTCCTCATTCACACAGACTCACATGACCCCACAAGCCTGCTTCACCGCCTCTTCCCCAGCTCAGTGACCTTTCAGTTACAGGCCCGTGACGTGCGTCCTCCACTTTCAGTTGCCTTACCAGTTCTCTGCAAACTACCTATGGTTATTATGGGTACCTAAAGCACAGTTTTGAAGGGTATGAAAATGATCATAGTCCTAAAGAGTAATTTGTGTCAAATTGCCTTACTAGTATGAAAAATAGACACACTGAATGAGCAATGCATGATACTTCTATATCCTACTCAGTATCACTGACATTTTATGAAATGGGGGAACTATATACTTTTGTATTATACAGTTTTAGACATCGAAGGTTAATTTAAAAACAAAGTTCTGACAAATATACTCTTTGCTTGGTCATAATGCCCTCATCCAGTATGTGCGTGACCGAATGGGACACGTCTTGCCTGGGGCACTGGGCACAAGCTCAGACGCACTCCCTTACTCTGCTAAACTCAAGCATCCTTAGCAAGTTCTCTTCCCTGTCAGACTAAACTATGGAATGGTGTATTTTTTCCAAATATTTTTGTGAAAACACTTTTTCGTAACTGTTCAAATAAAAATCTAGTTGCAATTAACTAGCTATGAGTTCTTATTTAATTTCAGGAAGCCAATGCTTTTCAACAGTGTACTTTCAAACCTTTCACATAGAGAACTTAACATTTTCTGCATTTCTAACAAATACTAAGTGACTAAAAATCACCTTTACAAGAAATTCTGGGATCATCCAGGTCCAATTTTGGAGCTCTAGTAATGTAAATGTAAAGTAAATGTAAATGTAAATGTAAAATGGCCATTATCATGGTGTCTTTATTCCAAATCTGTTCCTAAATTTTTTGGAAGAAAAATCTTTCTTTTTTAATATATTAAGAACAAAATTTAAAGCAACTCCTCCAGACCGCAATTTCCCCGTCTATGAGAATGGTACAAGATAAAATCTTTGAGGTCATTTTCAGTTCTGCCATCTTTTGTTCTTACAAACCTGAAGTTCTCTTAGTTTCTGAGGGGTTCATGATGAAGTAAAAACTATAAAAGTCACAAAATAGATGATAAACTGATCTTTAACATAAAAGTATTCTTACCTAGACTTTAAGGTCCCAAGTCTCAAACACCTTGCAGTTTCCTGTGTACCTTTAAAAAACCTTATTTTGTCAACAGTACCAACTACTGAAGGATTTACTTCACTTTAAAGTCCTCTTTTCATTTTCCCCTCCTAATCTGAACTGTGTGAAGACAAGTTAACAGTTATCACATAAGTTTGATTTAATTCAGAAAACAGTCTATCATAGCAATTAGAGTTTCCTAATCCATCATTCTGCCAGATTAGCGAATATCTCGAACAGCAAAAAAATAATGCTTTCGCTTTCACCACAGGAAGAGATTGTGGTTAACTTAAGAAAATGCCAACGCTGACTTAATAATACTGAAAAAACAAGTTTATAAAAATCTTTCTTTGCCTGAGATTTCTAATGTTACAAAAGGAACACTTCTGCTATAGTAACTCATGATTATTTTTAACCAGATTTATATATCAAGAAAATTCTATGAAGCATTAACACAGTATCCAAAAGTATTCCAGGGTTTTTATTTTTTATAATCTATACATAGATTTACTTAACATAGAAACCACTACCCAAAGCCAAAACATTAAGCTCCCATTTGCATTAGATCCACTAACTCAAGAGTCTCTAGAGACCTTCAAATTTCCCATCTTCTAAAACTGGGGTTGGCAAACTTTTTCTGAAAAGGACCAGACAGTAAATATTTTAGGCTTTGCAGGTCTTACAGTCTCTGCTATAACTGCTCAAAGCAGCCAAAGATAATGTGTAAATGGATGAGTACAGCTATGTTCCAATAAAGCTTTTATTCATGAACGCTAGTATTTGATTTCATGCAATTTTCACAGGTCATTAAAAATTAGCCTTTGATTTCTTTCCCCAACCATTTAAAAATGCAGAAACCATTCCCAGCTTGTGGAATATATAAACAGGCAGCAGGCCAGATTTGGGCCATGTGCCATAGTCCGCTAACCCCTGCTCTAAAATACCTTCCGAATCCAGTCACTTCAAAATTTCAAATCATTGCTTCCCAGAGATTTGAAGGAATTATTCAGATCTTCATCGGTGACCTCTTTTAGAGTGGCTGGTTTCCACTTTGGACTCTGGTCTTTATCTATTAAAACTGTCAAGTGAAGCCATAAAAAATGTTAGTTTATTTCCTTCTGGTATTGCCAGATTTTAATTTCTGAATTGACAAACTCCCTTGCACTGGGCATACTTTTCTATAGCACTTTTCTGAAAAGTGTGAATTTTTATGTGTGTGCTATTTTTCTTATAAATTAAGCCCCCACAGATTTTGAAGGGATGGCAATGTAGTGATGATGAGCACATGGTTACTTTCTAACCTGCTCAGCCCGACGGATGTCTCTAGATTGAATACAGCCTACTGAACAAATCCAGTGCTTTAAAGCCTAGAACTCTTTTCTCCTTCAAACAAAATAGTAAATGAAATCTCCCTCTCATACAACAGCTAAAACCACAGTTGATGTGGTGTTTAAAGGGAAGGCGGAAAAAGGTGGAGGGCACAGATCTGCCTTCTAATCTCCACAATAAGCTGAGAGGAAAATTACTTGAAGTAGAGGAAAGAGGGGCTTTGGCAGAGTTAAATGTGGACACTGCCATTCTGCTGAGTCCCCAAGTTCACATAGCTCTGCGTAAGAATACCAGACCATCTTCAAGGTTATCATGAGAAACCCTACGCCTCCTATTTCAACACAGTCATCATTTAGTGTGGCCATATAGTAACCCCACAGGATTAAAGTAAATGTGAGGCAATCTGTACACTCTCCTTTAAAAAGGGAGAGGAACGTCAGTTTCCCGGCGGTGACAGTACACTATAGTTACATAAATGCTGCCAGGGGGGAAACTGGAAAGAGGGTATGGGGGATCTCTCTTTAACAGCCATTTTCAACCCTTAATCTCATGGCACACATAAACTGATTATTAAAACTCTATAGCACACCAAAAAATGCAACTATTTTCTGACAGCAAAAAACATAATTTTGATTCATTAACACTGGAGAGATATCGAGTTGGATGTTGTCATTTTTTTATTTGACAATCTTAAGGGAAAAGAGGTCAGGTATTTCATGTTTTAAAACTTCTTGTAGCATACCAGTTGAAAATTGCTGCTCTTTCAACTTCATGTAAATCTACAGTTACCTCAAAAAAAAAAAACTTTTTTAAGGGAAGGGGGCTCTATTTACTTAGTATGGTTGTGGTATGGGTATTTTAATCATGCTTAAAATGTGTTTAGTTCTTGTGAAGAATGAAAATTATTTAAACACACAAACTCTACAGTGAACCTAAAAAACTACGTTTTGCATTAAAGGCTAAATAATTAAAGCAGCAACCTGGGAACCGAGGGAGCAGGCTGTCTCAGGAAGGAGAGGGAAGGGAGCTTCGTGCATAATTAATGTGGACGCGGAGATTTCTCAGGTTTGGCTGCCCAACTTCAGGGTTCTAGTATCGTCAGATCGAACGCTGATGTTATAATCCCTGCCAACTTGAAAATTTTACCTTCCCTGAACAGTGTAAGTGAAAATCCTAGAACATTTTTTCCTACAAGGATCCCTTTTAAGCCCTTTGGCCAGTTCTCTCTGCCTCTCTGACAGTCCGCTGCAGGGCAGAAGGACAGGGAATAATAAAATCTAGGTGTTATTTTACTTCAGACTAACAGAAAAGTCTGCCTAGCATGGATATCACAAGTTCTTACCCGGTAGGCAGCTCGGGTTTTTCAGGAGGTCTCATCAGACACCCACTCAAATTCCAGCTGGTAGCTTTCTAGCCCTAAGATAATCTTTTTATTTTCTTCTACAACCAAGAAGTTTGTTCAAGATGTTACAAGTAAAACTTTTTGACAACCACTCATCTAACTTGCTAGTTTATTTTATCTAATTGGTTAATGTTATTTTATAATTAACAGATGGAAGCAAACATTTGGTTATGCAAAACATCAGTTTTACCCAGAATAAGTACTGCATCTGAATAAAAAGGTTATGCGGAAAAATGAGGTAATATACTTTTTCTGTATTAAAAAGCTTGATAAGAACATGCATTGTGTATCAGAACTTTGATGCTGTTCGGTTTTAACTCTTGTTCTTTAAAATCACCAACAGTATACCTAAAAGGAAGTCTGAGAAGGACCTGCTGTAACAGTTAGTGAATACTTGGGCAACACAGCTCACACGGATCCTCCGAAAATCAGAAAACTAGGCTGATCCACATGCAGTTCGAATTTGCTGGAAATTAGTGGGGAAAATGTATTTTTCATTTGGTTCCTATAAAATGTACAGTTATCTCCTCTGACTCAATTCCATGTGTCCTCTGAAAGGATTTGAACCCACTGCCTATTTCTGATACTGTATATGCCACAGATTAAGAAAATTCCACGAATAGTGATCAGTGTCCAGCGAAGCTTCTACCTCAGAGAACATAACCTTTTATAAGTGATCAATAGAAAATATGTAAGAAAATTAGGTATGCAAAGTACATGCATAAAACATGCAACAGAAATAATAGCTATTATTTTTAGGGATATGGGCATATACAAAAAAATTATTGCAAATTTGCTAGGAACAAAAAAATATCAACCACTTCACTTGCTTTTTCTAAATATGCTGGCTCTGAAGATGATAACCAAAAAGAAATTAATAAAAACATCAGCAAGTTTTACTAATGATGTCACATGGTTTTTCTCCACGTCAGAGTTTAACTGCTCAGGTACAGGCAAGGAGGTGGACGGGGGCTGGCCACCCACCGCCAGGCTTTGCCAGGTCTGCACAGAAGGGAGAGGGAGCGTAGAGGACCTGAGGGCTTTTTGCAAAGGAATAAATGCACCTTTCAAAGGCTTCAGCAGCCAAATGAGTTTATGAGCTCATACTGTCTCTGCATGTGACTATTAGAAGCAGGATTGCCTCTTACCTAGAAATCAGGGAGCTGTGACCAAGTTAGGGGAACTTTTAAAAAAAATATTGGATCCAAAGATTTATCTTCCCTTAGATGCCAGTTGGTAAGATTTTTAAATACTTCACAATCTTTACACAAGTCTAATTTACACTGATAAAACAACTGTCATCTTTGATTAACAGCATATACTCATACATTCTACTTCTACTGCTCTCCGGGAGGGGAATAACTGTCGCTTACCTGCCCTAACGCCTTCTTGAAAGTCATGTCCTCTCTGAAAGAAAATCAAGATTAAATGGAGAGTTTCTAAGTGTCCTTTTTCTTGGTGATCTCGCTCTTCAGCCTCCCACTCCCGTGGCCACACCCTGAACCACGACAGCAGAGACTGGACCAGCTCTGCCACCCACTCTGCTCACCGCCCCATCTTTACTTGCTCAACTGGCTCCATGCTGCAAACCCCTCGTCTGACTCTGGGCTCCACCGACCCCACAACTTCCTCACCATCTGTTCTGGCTTCACTTTGCTCTGCATCCAGCCCGTTTCCCCAGTCCACTGATGTGGTCGCTTTTCCTTGAAAATGTCCTCATCTCCCCCACACCTTTTTCTTCCTTTTACTCTGTCCTGGCAAAATTCCAACGTCAGGTGAACCCTCCCAATTTGACTGTGCCAGCACTCGAGTAGCTAAATCTTGCATCAGTAAAATCGTACAACCGTGACTTGTTTCATTTAAAATTCATGAGCATAATCTCAAGCATGGAAAACGGCTCAACAGTCCATGTTTTCTTCCCCACTCCCCAAGATAATGATTTAAACTATCTTCTGTCTCCTCAACCTGCACCCTAGCAAACTCTGCTCTCACCACATTCTTAGCTAATGAGTTAACCTCCTACTTCCTTAAAAAAAAAAAAAAAAAGCCCTAACACGCGTCATTCCCTTCTTCCTACCACCAGAAAGCCTGCAGCCCAGCTGCAGCCCCTGCACCATGAGGTCCCTTTCCTGACGATGGAAGAAGGGACCATCCCCCTTCAAAGGCCCGCCCTCCCCTGCATTCACATTCCCTCACTTCCTCTAGGGCTTTGCTTAAGAAGGTTACCATCTCTTTCTTTTCCTGGCTTCATTAATGTAGGCAGTGTAACTTAGTGGCCAAGTGCATGTCAGGGTTCACCTCCTGGTTCTACTACATAGTAACTATGTGACTTTGGCATACTAAGTTCCCTAACTCCCAATTTCCTGAAATGGCAATATCAATACATCCATCATAGGATTATCTGGATCCCAGTACAGTGCCTGATACAGAGTAAATGTTCAGTAAATGTTAACTATTATATGTATTAGTTCATCAACATAGTATGCATTCTCTATTGGATCACTATCAATCATTTATAAATGCGTTCTGTCTTCCACCAGACAAGATAGAGAACCTCACTTGATTCCAGTCCCAGCTGCTACACTATCTCTGCTTCACCTCCCATTTACTCCTTTCCTCTCCCAGTTACCACACTACAACTTCTGCCCCAACACTCTGCTGGAACGGCTTGTCCAAATCACCGTAACTTCAGTAGGTCAGATGCCTATATCCTCATCTACTAGGTGCTTCAGCAGGACTCTCTCTTCCTTGAGACACTTTCGCTTTCGTGACACCTCACTCTCCTGGTTCCCCCACCTCTGTCCCTCCTCATCTGTCGCTGCTCCTCCAGCCCACTTCAAAATGCTAGAGCCCCTTGGGGCTCAGATCAGTGCTCCCTTGTTTTCCTTCTATATGACCTTATCCATTCTATACTCAACACATCAGCAACTGAGTGGTCAATTCTGTTAAAATATAAGATCATGTCATTCTCTGCTCAAAACATCCAATGGCTTCCCACTCTACTCAGAAAAGTCAAAGTCTCATAAAGACCATCAAGGCCATATAGCTCCATGCAGCCCAACCCCATTCTCTCTGACCTCACCTCCCTCTCACTCATCAACCACCCCCACCCCACCCACCCACCAGGCCTCCTCGAGGTCTCTAACACAGGCAGGCCCACACCTGCATCTGAGCTCTCAGTTGCAGTGCCGCGGCCTGGGTGCTCTTCCTCCAGACACTTGCACAGCGCACTCCCCCACTTCTTCCAGGTTTTTATGCAGCATCTCAGCCAGGTCCTCTCTGGTCAACCCATCTACAGTCTCATTCCCCTTCTCTACCCCGATAATCCATATCCCCTTTCCACCTACATTGTTCTCCTTAGTATTCATAATCAGTGTATTTTACACGTTTATCTATTTATGATCCATCTCCCCCAGGACAGACTAAGTTCCGTGAGGGTTGGGATTTTATCTGTTTTGTTTACCTGTGTATTTTTGGTGCCTCAAACAGTGCCTAGTATGTGGTAAGTACTCTAATTTGTTAAATAAATAAGTAAATCTCTGCAGGTTTTTAAAATTCTGAGCTCGTGTCATTGAGATTTAAACCTCTAAGCCACTCTCAGACCTCTGAGCTCCAGCTCCTAAATGCATTCTCTCCCTCACATCCATCATCAAGGCCCATCAATCCTGTCTCCTACATTTGCCTCAAATCCATTTATTTCTCTCTGTTGCCACCAGCCAATTCTACGCCACTGCTATTCTGCATCTGGATTATTGCAATAAACTATCTGGCATCTACATTCACTCTTGAGTCCCTGCAACCCCATCTCCATTTAGCAGCATAATTACCTTAAAACAAATGGAAACAAATCACCACCTGCTGAAACCCAGGAGGCTTCCCAACACACTCATTTCTCACCCTTCAGGTCACAGACGAGCTAACACCTCAGAGACGTTTCCCTGACCTACCATCTAAAGCAGGTTAACCTTGGTCTCCTCACTCCCCTGTCTCTGCATCATTCCCTGTATCATCAACCCATTATAACTCTTTAAGAGCACTTACACAATTTGTAATTATATTACTTACCTTGTTTACTTGTTCTTTATAGTCTCAGGAGACTATAAATTCCTTAAGAACAAGGGCAGTGTCATTCTTTCAACAACATAACACTTAGCACTGTCCCTAGCACACAGCTAACACACTTGCTGAGAGAATGAAGGCAGGGGGAGTCCGTCAATCTAGGCACTGCACTAAGTGTACCCTGAAAAACACGGACCCTGTGAGGCACACCAGACAGTGGCCAAGAATGCAGAGCCTGGAGCAAAACCACCTGCTTTCACACTCCATGTCTCTCCACCAGCTTTTGCAGGGCACTCGTCTGTAAAATGGAGACATTAGAGCACCTATCCTTCTAGAGACAGTGTGAGATTTATTAGAGAGAATGCACGTTAAAGTACCTAGTATAGTACTTACTCATAATAACAACAGTCCTCAGCTGCCAGGAGTGACTTTAGACACGATTAATAGAGATTTATGGTTAGAGGAACTACTTTGAATATCTTAATACCTATTTCAGCACATGAAAGTCCATTAGGGATCTTTTTTCTAGTTATTAAAGAAAATATTTCCTTTAGGCCATATAATAATCTAAGGGCCCCCTATACATAACACAAAAGGGATGATTCTGCTTTTGAAGAATTTATCATCTGCAAGAAGAAATCACTATGACTCTGAAATGTTTCATGAAATCAACAATATTCCATGTGATTACTACCTATTTTAAGTATTCTTACAATGGGACTTTCAATGCTAATCAATTAAAACATGTATCAGACTAATAATGTCCATTTGTCATTATACATACACACAAGTATTCCTTTTACCAGTGATGGAATTCTGACTTAGAAAGTTTATGCCTTTTGTCCAAGGTCAGAGACCATGCCTGAAACATGGTTAATTCCTATTTTGGATTCCTTATAAGGTTAGAGGCCTTATACTTACATACTAATGTAACTGCTGTTTCATAAAGGCTTAGTAACCACCTGAGAGCAATACCTCCACATGCCTTAAGCTAATTGGCCCATTGTGTTTTCATAGAGTATATTTATAGGTAATTTCAATTTTCTTATTTTTAGTTTTCTGTATTTTACATGTTCTACAATGACCATATATTATGTTCATAACTGTAAAATGATAATACTTTTGAAAAAAAGCCTTACCATGCAAGCTTGACTCAGCCGATATTCCATAGTTAATACTTCTGGCAAGGTCAGTGAAGAACCCTCTATGAGTTGCCTTAACGTGATCTTTAGAGATGTTGGAGACATTTTATTAATTACCTGTTAAGAAAAAATTTTTACTAGTTTTAGACCAGTAGTTCCTTTATTGTCTACAATAAACCAGCTGAGTTTATTGGTTTTTTGATATAAACCATATTAAACTTTGCTCCTTAATAGCAGTTTCATATGACAAAAAGTTCTACAAAAGTGAGATTACGCCTTAGGCTAATCCTGCCAAAGCACCAAATAAACGATTTCTAGTCCATCATGATAAGGAAACAGATCGTACTACCAGTGGAATAAATTCTACACCTATAACCTAAGTAAAAAGATAAATCTACATTTTGTAGCGTACCTGATGTAAATTATGACCCCAACTGGCTAAGCAGAGATTTTGCTTAAGCAAATGTAATCATGCACATCTCAGAGACCACTAATATATCAGAAGACATTTCAACTTTACAATATAAAGGCAGCAAAGGGGTAGAAATACAGTAGCTCTCCCTTCCTGTTTCGTGACTCTAAAATGTCTCAACTTCATCTTCAACTATAAATAAATCCTCTTACCTTAAAAGTAAAGAGAGAAAACTATTCAAGGTATCATGAGGTGCTCTTCTCTAGTATTTAAACATTTAATAAAATAAGGGTTATAGGCTTAACGCCTCAGCTCCAACGCCAAGTCACTGCCTGTTCAATTTAAAGGTGCTGGTACCAGTGCTCCAATGCATGTGCTTGGCTGCTGCAAGAGGCCCATTCCATGCTGTGTAACTCTGACGTTTGCCCTTTCCTTTATCATTGGAATATACAGTTTGCAGGAGTATTGCTGAGTGAATATCTCAAAGATATACATTTCACTTTTGAATTCAAAGAATTCCCCACATTAAGATTCCAGATTCTTTGGAACATCCTCAAGTTGGGCACACAGATTCAGAGAACAGACTGAGTGGATAGGAAAGCATCTTAGTTGTCAAAGCTTAACTAGATGATTTTGCACAGAGACATTTCAGGGGAGATCAGTATCCTACCTACAGCCACATGCTGCTGGAAAGAAGAGAGGCATGACTAAGGCTTTTTGTATCTGGTTCATCTTCGCAGGAACTCACTCTTCTGCCCTTGGTGCAAATGGACAGCCTCCTATAAGGCCCGAACAGCAATCCTACTCCACGTTCGTGCCTTTTCAATTGCAGGCCAAGAGGACGACAGCACAGCGTGTCTGCAAACTGTGCCAGGAGGCCCTCCTTTCCACGGGCAAGAAGGACAATGGGTCCATTTTGCTAACAAAACCACTAGTTTTTATCTAGCCAGAATAATGTCCATTATTATCACAGATGAAATCCTGTAGATACCTCACTTACAGTGCTAAAAGGTGCACTTCAAGAAGTGACAGAGCCACCCTCTATCCTGCCAAACCACCCGCAAAGCCCATGCTGCGACAAATTTCTTTCCAACAGTGTACCACGGGTACAGTTACTGCCAGTGTCCTCATTTCTGGGTTCGGCACTTTACTATCTTACAATCCCAAAACATAACACTCCATCTCTTGCTATCCTTCTTTAGTGGGCTGCCAATTCATTTCATTTTAAAAAGCCAGTTAAGGGCCCCAGTTGCCTGCTTTGTATCACACACACATACTAGGTAAAAATGGGAAGAAAATTTCAATCCAAAAGGTCCGCTGGCTCAGACATTTGGTGAAATAAGTTGACGCTTGAACAACATTTGAGTTAGGGCACCCACCCCACCATGCAGTTGAAAATCTGCATGTAAGTTTTGACTCCCCCAAAACTGAGCTACAGTTGGCTCTTCCTATCAGCAGGTTTTGCATCCACAGGTTCAACCAACTGTAGGCTGAAGTCAGTGTTTCCAGTCTGCGCTTGGGAATCTGCTGACGCAGAGGGCCAACAGCGCTGCTGGCCTGCTGGGACCAGAAGCCTTCCTGATAAACAGGCGGTTAGCACGCATTTTTATATGTGTTATATATCATATTCTTACAATGAAGTTAGCTAGAGAAAAGAGTGTTTTTAAGAAAATCATGGGGAAAATACATTCACTGTATTTACTGGAAAATACTCATGTATAAATGGACCCATGCAGTTCAAACCTGTCTTGTTCCAGGGTCAGTTATAGTAATTAAAGATATTTTCATCAGACAGACATACAGGGTGTAAGTAGGTTTACCGTTGTTTGTATGGAAAATAATACAATAAGAAATTATAAAAGAGTAAACTGTTTCCCACACAACTGTAAACCTGCATTTGCCCCGCCCCGAATGAGGAGAAACAGGTGTACTGACAACCCAAAGAAACTGCCATTTCCAACGACTCTACGGGTACTGGCAACCGGGCAGAGACGCAGGTTTACACTCAGAGTCAGAAGGCACTGGGTGGAGTCCCAGCAGCACCACCTCCTGCGTGATCTGACTTTCCTCCCTTGCAAAGTGGAGATGGTCACACCACCCACTTCATAAACAGTATGGCAACATAGGATAGTGCACCGTGTCAGAAACCACGCAAAACAAGGATGGGATGGGACATTTATTGAGCACATTTTCCTTATCTCTAAGGCAAGTACTTTCACACATAGGTGTCTTTTACAAATGAGGAAACCAGACTCAGACATGAATTTGTCCAAGGTCACACACAGCAGGAATCCAAACCTGAGCCTGCCTACTCCAAAACCCACCTCCTTCTGCTATAGGAGCTATAAAAGTAGTCAAGAATGTCAAAGGCAGAAGAAAAGTAAAAAACAACAAAGATAAAAAGTAAAGTGTGTCAGGTAAGAAAGAGAAAAAGTGAATAAAAACTTAATTTTGATGGCAAGGGGAAGACAAAAAGATGGTAGCCCAAGAAAGAGTCAAGGAAACGCTTTTCGTTAGGGTTGAAAAGTTTGAAAATAACACTAATGTGCCACTAACTCAAGAACATAAAATCGCAGATACTCAAAGTCAGAGATGCTGGCGCAATCAGTTGGCAGGAAAGCACAGAATGAGAGCACAGGGGGATGTGTCCCGTGACAAGGAAGTGAGATGCAACACAGGTCAGAGGAATCAGAGGGCACGACAGAAGAGAGTTACAGTTGCTCATATAAAATAGCTTCGCTCACGAACGAGGGAGCACCGAGACTGTTCTGAAATGTTAGGACTCGAGTCTTTAGCTGTGGTAGAAATGTGTGTGGATATATTCCTGCACCCAAACAGCCTCTCGAACACGGCTCTACTTTTTGGCAGAACACTGGTCAGCGTTCTAACCACTTTACCTGACACTTTAAATTTTAATTGTCTCCTGTATGTCAAAGAGCCATCTTTTTCCTTTAGTTTTTATCAAATGGTTCACATTCTCATCTCCATTCAACAATATTACACATCTATTATGCATTAGACACTTCAGGAAGACAATAATAAACAGGACATGGTCCGTGTACTCAAAGAGCATTTTCAACAAAAGAAAAACTCAGGATACTGCCTCTGCCTCTCACCTCAGGAACCTACCAGAACACCCAATAATACACAGTCTGACTTGCATTATCAAGACAAAAACAATACCCAACAAGACTACTGGCACAAGCAGAAAAAGAATATTCAACAAGCCTATTGATACTACTAGAATTCTATCAAGGAGAGCCAAGGGGTTGACAAAGGGCTATAGAGACAGTTCGCCCCAGCCCTGTCTCTGATTCACTATGTAGTCTTGGAAAGTGATTTTTTTTCTTTATAAAGAAAGATGTCATTTATAACCCTCTGAAAGTCTAGGCTCTGCCCTATGTAATCACCCCCCCCAAAGTAACTAGCAGCTAGGAATTAATGTATACTTATATTTTACTTTTTAAAGTGCATTAAAAATAGAACTGATACTGACTTAAAGAGTGGGTAGAGACAGGGAACAGGAAATGAGCACAGGAAACTAATTAGAGAAAACAAATTGGCTTGTTCTTTACATAATAGAATACATAAGGGTTTAGGATAAATACAAATGGCTGTAAATTTGCTCTCCTCTGAAGATAGGTTACAGTATATTTCAGATCTGCTAACATGCTATGAGATGAACTTTCTAACCCTTCCATTAAAAAACCAAATTCATCCTGGCTGGTGTAGCCCAGTGGATTGAGCGCAGGCCTTTGCACCAAAAATCTGTGGTTTGATTCCCAGTCAGAGCACATGCCTGAGTTGCAGGCCAGTTCCCAGCAGGGGATGCACAAGAGGCAACCACACACTGATGTTTCTCTCCCTCTCTCCTTCCCTTCCCCTCTATAAATAAATAAAACCTTAAAAACCCAAATTCACTATTTCTAAAAACTTTCTCTGAACTACTAAAAATGCCATTGAGCAAAAGTTTAAGCAAGCCACATAGTAGCCACTTAAAAAGTACACAATGTAGTTTCCACATTATAGAAGGAAGAGGGAAAGGATAAATTATTTGTTCACATTACACTGCAAAAATTGCTCAATTTGAACAGCAGATATTTTAATGCTTGCAAGGCACAAGAGAAATAAATCAGTGCAAAACAGGTCAAAACAAATTACTTGTAAGAGTATAGAAATAATTGTTAGAAACAATGTTTTCTACCAGAGCAAATGGTTATTAGAAAATAAAGATAAACTGAGGGATGCTATAGAAATACCTTATACCACTGGATTTATTTTCTAAAGGAAAAATCTAAAATAGTATATCCAATCACTTTTAAGTCCATAAACACTTAACAGTTAAATGAGCAGGTATCAAAACCCCCAAATAACAAACTCCTGCTTTATATTATAGTTGGTTAATGTAAAGAGTTTATAGTTAAATCTATCATTTCTGCTGCCCCCGACCTTCTGGACACCTTCTCCACAATTTGACAGGTACCCTCAGTGTCGGTTTTACTTTTCTAACAGATAATATTGAATAAACATTTTCTGTTTAGGTATCCCCAAGGTTTTATGCACTATCTATTCCCCATAATAAATCTTTCTTCTTAGAGTACCTGGAGCGACTCCGTTTTCTACAACAAGAATTCTCACCAGTAAAGAACCTGAAACTATAAAGGGAAAAAAATAAAGGACATGGGGCTGGTAGATCAGGGAAAGT